ACAAAAACTTAGGAAATCGTAAGAACTCAAAAAGGGCGAGACCGGGTGTTTATACATGTATATCGTACTAAGCGTTTCCTGCAATGCATGCGTCACCCGCCATGCGAATCCAAGTGTCACAATCACGACTATTAAAATAAGTAAAGATCTAAGACACGAAAACATATCGCTATTGTATTGAGACGCAAGCACATCGTATCGGTCAACCAATTCGCGGTGGTGAGAGTAAAACTTTCTACATGGTGTCGATTTCAGTCGTTCTTCTTATAATTCTGTCTGTTGGAGTAGTTTTGTTTGTCAGTATAGTGTGAACATGCACGAGCGTAACGTAATTAGAATATGAAACTCCTTACGAATCGAATCTGGCTTGAAGTCGTCGAACTGTGGAAAAATATCGAGGAAAAGATAAAAATATGAAGCAGACCTTCTAGTTTCTGTAGTATCCTAAATCGCAAAAAAATACTGTTTTCATCAAAACGATTGCTATAAACAGATAATACTTGCTATACATTTCAAATGTAAATACATAATTGATTATAATTGAAGTAATGATTCTCTACATGCTTTATGTAATATTTCGTGTTGCAAACATCTGGAGAAACTACGATGAAGATGAACATTTTACAACTTTGAATTCTTTTGTCAACCGTCAATTGCTCAAATCTTTAAGAGTTGTTATGCATGCATTACCAAATTTCCAAATAATATGGAAGAAAAAATGTTTCTTCTGTCGTAAATTTTATTAAAGCGTTTCCTTTCTGAATAAAAAAAATATCCAAATCAAGAAAAGGATAAATATTTCTGTTCATATTAGAGTTGTTAGCTCTGTTGGTGATCTCACCTTTCTACTACATGTCTTCTACCGTTCGCCTATCTCTTGTTTCATGATTCTGACGTTGACTACTATTACTGGATATGATTTTAGAACCACGTGACTTGTAATTAGTGCAAAAAGGTATCAGTCAGGAGAATGATGTTTTTCGATATTATAACTCACTGATAAACTGCCAGAATACATTTACCTGGAGATAAGATTTGGATATGATTCCGTTATACGATCTTCACTTTCTTCCGATTAGTCTTTTGTTCATTAACTACAAAATATAATTCTTACTAATTCTAGAGTACAAAATAACTCTGATTCAAACAGAAAGTTCCCTGAAACTGACATTATCTGGATGTTTGCTTTCTTGGCTGACAACATATTTGTTACGTATGGAGGACCACAAGTAATCAGCATTCTAATCGGAACCAACTGTGCTCTTCTTATTGCCGACTTCTTCTTTTATTCATATGAGGTTGGCTTTTGGGAAAAATGAAAAAAAAAGCTATCATGATCCTTGAAATTCACGTTCCGCTATGTATATGATGCCCCCTCACTAAATAGTTCAGTTTGATGACTAATTTGAACGCATCTATCCCATCAAACTTGAAATAAAGGATACAATAGATATAGTAAAGTTTGCGTCGTATCTTGATTTGCATATAGAAATTGAAAATAAGGGTCGGTTCATAAAAAAATTTTACAACAAAAGAAATGATTTCAGCTTCACAATTGTGAACTTTCCATTTCTATGTAGCAACATTCCAGCAGCAACTGCATACGGAGTATATATCTACCAGTTGATACGATATTCCAAAGCTTGAATGTCCATTCACGATTTCCTTGATAGAGGGTTGCTGCTTACAGGGAAGTTATTAAACCAAGAGTTTCAAGTGGGGAAGTTATAATCATCCCTTCGACAATTTAACGGACATTATCATGAGTTGGTTGACCGTTATTGAATATCTGTTTCACAGATGACGACGGATATGTTACAATTGTCCTAAAAACAATCCCGTCCTCTTTTCCCCGAATGTGACCTACAGAATTAGACTTATCATCGGGTTTGTACTTAAACGAGAAACACGACGGGTGCCACATGTGAAGCAGGATCTGCTTACCCTTCAAATGCACCTGATATCATTTTTTTGTTGAGGTACGGGTAACTCAGTCTTTAGTTTTGTTTGTTGTGTTTTGTATAATGTTGTTTGTCTTTTGATTTTTTTTTAACTATTTGCAATCGTATTGCAAGTTCGTTTTCGACTTATGAGTTTGAATGTCCCTTTGATATATTATTTCGCATCTCTTTTAATAACATCGATGGAAGAAAATCTACAATATTACAAAATTAAAAACACTTTTTACTGTATGATGTTTCCGCAATATGACACCGACTTCCGTGTTCCAGAAACATCTTGAAGAAACCTTCATAAGAATGCAAAGCACAATTGATTTTACCATTGGCGACAATAGTAATGTTTCTTGATTTTACTGAGTAGATTTTAATCATAAAACCTTATTTAAAATAAAGAATATTTATTGTGTTAACATATTTCATTAAACAAATATGGCCCCGTTGTTTTTATATTTGTGATTTACATTTGCCAAGGGTGACCGTCAATCTCACAGAAAAATAACCGTAAATTCTATTCATTCAACAACATGAAGAAAAACAAATCTCAACTATTTCAGGAGAAAATTTTATTGCTTCAACCAAGAATCCATAAGGATTTAGGAAAAAAAATAAAATGTGTGGCATAGTCCATCCAATGAGAATCCGCCATGTCTTTGTTTCTGAATACCATGGTATGCTCATAAATGTTTGCTTTCATAAGCCAATGGTAGATTGTAACCATCATTTACATTTGAAATCAAGAAAGTTTTTTGCAAATTTAAACGAAAAACCTTCCTGTTAGAAATCAATGATTTGGAAAACAAGGTGTGAGGTCTTAACGTTTCTTTTGTCATTTTAGCGGAATATTCAGAATAGCAACATATTAAAGAATGAGTGAAATGACTGTGATTACTAACGTGAATTATATATACTATACAGCTGGAATATATAATTTTGACCTTAACGCTGTCATAAATCCGACCTACCGGTATCATAAAGGCAACAGTAGTATACCGCTGTTCGAAATTCATAAATCGATTGAGAAAAAAACAAATCCGGGTTACAAACTAAAACTGAGGGAAACACATCAAATATAAGAGGAGAACTACGACACAACAGAAACACAACATTTAAATGTAACACACACAGAAACGAACTATAATATAACAATGGCCATTTTCCTGACTTGGTACAGTTGTCTTGACAGCCTTGCCATGTTCCTGATGAAGACACTTTCTACTGATATATATATTTGGAATGCAAGCAATACATGAAATGCTTACAATTATGACGAACCTGGTATTACTTGATTCCGGCTGTTGTTATTCCTATTTTTTGTATTCAAACTTACAGTTATGATAATTGAACGAGCAATGATATACTTGTACTAAGGTTTAGTTTATATGTGTACCTTGACTAGTTAATGATATTTGAAATGACTTTGTTTAACTATCTTTATATTCTCCAGATAGCGTTTGATTTCTCCAGACAGAGTTTTGTTCATATACGATAAAATATAATGTAAATTTTGAGTCAGGATCAAATGCTACAATAATACAAATACTGTAAGGAGTCAACGTAAAGGATACTATTGTCAGTGAATACGCCAAAAACGGTTGTAATCAACAGTTTAATTCAGAGTTCAATAAATTGATTTAAGACATTGACTGAATATAGGTCTGAACACTACCCCCAAAACATTTCTAGGCTTTTCATTATGAGGGTTTTAACCTAAGATTAAGTCACATGCGGATTAGGATTTGCTATCCCTTTCGAAGCACCTGCGATCATCCCCGGTTTTGGTGGGTTAAGACTTTTAACCGTTAGTGTTGCTCGAGTTTTGTATGTTGTGTTTTGTAGACTGTTGTGTGTCTTTTGGTCGTTTTTTTCGCCCTAGTATTGACAGTTCCTTTTCTACTTATGACTGTCAATTCACCTTTGGTATCTTCTGTTCCTCTTTAGCATAATCTATGAACTCAAAATTAGCAGTATAATTTGTCATTTGATTATTTCAGTTCCAAAACACCGGCTTCTACTGTCCTTTCGTATTCTCTTATTTTTTTAAAGACAATGAGCATACGGTTACCTAATTTAACATCAAAACGATTGAATGAGGTTAGATGAAAAGGTGAACGGAATCATGGGACACTTAAAACCTGTAGGTGGACGAATACCAGAAACTACAATGTCAAAAACAAAATCAACGAAAAGGCAAACAAAAAACTCTATAAAGAAATTTAAAGGTTTAGCAACCAGTACTCGCCACAAGTCCGGGATGAACTCAGATGCTCCTAAAGGGTAAGTAGTTTCTGCTCGACTAGCTCCACCGTTATCTAGGTCGACAGTTACGCAACTTTTATTTATCAGTGGATATTTATATAAATACTATGTGGTGAATAAATAGCGGAAACAGTAGCATACCGTTGTTCAATAGTCATAATTCTATTAAGCAAAAACAAATCCGAGTAACAAACTAAAACCGAGGAAAACACATCAACTATATGAGGAAAACAACGGAACAACAGAAACACTGAACTACAACAGAGGCAAACGCAAACATACATAGAAACGGACTGTGTAATAACAACTGCCATATTCCTGACTTGGTACAGGACATTTTAAGAAAAAAATGATGGGTTGAACCTAGTTTTATGGCTAGCCAAACCTCCCGCTTATATGGCAATGTTTAAAATACCGCTAAAACGACAACACTACATGACATGAATACAATACAAACAAACGTGTCTACTTTTTTTGGCCTTTTAATTTTATTTATTCGAGCGTCACTGATGGGTCTTTATGAACGAAATGAGCGTCTAGCGTACGGGATTATATGCATGGTTTCTTTGATGAGTTCTTTTTCCAATCGTTAACGTTGTTACTTGGACGTTGATATCTTCTCTGTAATATTCTGAGATATCCTAGTATAACCAGCTTACATTTAATGCCACTTAGAACTGTTCGCATAGTAGTAAAGCATATAGACCTTAATGTGTATCTTTTTAATGTTTAATATGACTTGAACATCGGTAAATTACTGTTGCCTAAATACAACAACAAAGGTTTAGTTTAAAGAATTTAATTCAAACAAGAAATAAAACTATTTCAGTAAATATATAATCTAATTTTGAAATACAAGATAAAAATAGATAATACATATCGATTTCAAAGGCAATACTTTCATATTTTAGATCACATTTGCCATTTAATCTACAACAATATAGCATTAAAATTCGTAAATGCAAAACTTTGAGCAGTTTTAAATTTATTTTATATTATACAGCAAAAATAAATGCATACAACATTTTAATTTTTAAGAAACTGTGTTATGTAATACGCAATCAAACCACTTCATGGACCAGTAATGTACGCAAAACTAAACTGAAACAATGGCTTATCATCTATAATATAATGCAATGAAACTTTGTTTCAGTGTATATAAAATTGTTGAGAATTGATTATCTCTTTCAGTGTAGACACTAGCCTGCAGCCTCCTAGGTCTTTTACAGCACTGGAACTTAAATCATGATCGGAACAAAAATTAATACTTCGATATTCTCAGGTTCTCTATCGATCATTGTTCTTTCAAAACTTTCAAAAAATAAGCATTATCAAAGATTATAAAATAGAACAATACAAAGGTCAGAAATTGTGTTGCTGACACATAACAAAAAATGGGTATTTAATCATTACTGATGTTCAATTTTGAAACTAGTTTTCGAACCTCGAATATAAATCAATAGTAAATTAGTCTAAAATAAGAATTATTAACTCTCCACAAGGAATTTTTAAGTTGTTCGTATGATTTACGATATAAAAGGGGGAATCGTTATATGTGTTGCAGAAATTGAATTTATTATATTGTTAACATGAATATTTACAATAGCGAAGTTTGTTACATAAAGCAAAAATACAAACCACCAAAAATCAATTTGTTAAAAACATGATATCACACAGTTAAAAACGGATCAACTGAAAGAAAATGGTAAAAATGAAATACAAAATAAACTTCATAAACTTCTACACAATGGTGAAAATAGACTGTAAAATCAATGATTTCAAAAAATTAAAAGCTAGCTATAAAGAAAGTTATCTTACATCAAAAATATTGATGGTGAAAATGTTCAACGCCTTTTCAAATTAAAATATGATTTGTATACATCACATGTCAACCGAGTTCTAAAATACCATTGATAAGTTAATTATCTAATTAAATGTTAAAATACGTAGATTGATTTCTTTGCCATAAGGTCACATTGGTAGAATGAACAAGTTTGTTTTACTCATAACTGATAGCCGTCTTCGCGATCCAGGAGAAAATCAGTATCAAAAGAATACTTGTCATTTTATTCTGGATGAAAGAAACGTGTTCTATTTTATTCTACTTGGGTAAATTACACTTACATTTTTAAATTTCTAGCTATTTAGAATTGTTCTTTAAATAATTATGTAGAAAAATAACTGTTGCACGCAGCAAAAGTAAAAGCGTATGAAATTTTAATATGCTGTGCTGACAAGTATGATTTACTAAAATTTAAAACAAAATATGATCATAATGAAGAACAGAGAACAGTTTGCAACTTGCTGTCGCTAACATTGCAGGCAATACATCAATACTAAAATGATTGATTGATTGATGTTTGTTTAAAGCCACATCAGCGCATGAGGGCTATGTCGCGGCGACAATACTAGAATTGCATCACTATATTGCTAAAATGAAACTATAGTAAAACATTCTAAATCTAATGCAATGATTAACATCGAAAATGTTTAAGGTGGTACCCAACACCTTGACTAATATTAATTTGGCTCGTTTAATTTTCCTAAAATTTTGACAAAATGTTTACTTTGACCCTTTGACAAAAATATAAAAATTTCAAATAATCTGAACCAACCACTTTATCAGAAAAATTTCACTGGTTATATAGCAGTTTGACAAACACTAATTTTGATCATTGAGAATCTTGATATTTCCTTAACAATACAACATGATTAAAACGTTTAGCTGATTTTTACAGAGTTATCTCCCTGTAGTGTTAGGTACCACCTTAAATGAAATGTTGAGCGTTACTAACATAGCCTTGCTACATGGCACTTCAAGCACCAGGAACGTCACGTTATAAAGCATATATTAAATGCAACATAATACAAATTAAATATTCTGTAGAAAATTCAATAAAATAAGCTAATTCGTATATCCTCGTTTTTGACACCATTGTAGTGTTAAAGTGTGAAGGCACAATTTAGTTGACATTTTATGGACGATATTTTAATATGCAACATACAGTCTGATCCTTACATAGACATCGTTAGTAAACTTTGTGATGCAAATGAATAATACTAAAATAATGTTTGTAATAAAGATATATTATAAATTTATATTGTACTGGCGATATAAGTTCTTTAATTGAGATCAACAAATACCTATATTGTATTGTCTGATATAGTGGCATCTTTTCACTTGTAACGATTACGATCATGTAAGATCATTAAACTAACAGGAACTATTTTATCTTATGAATTCGCAAAATGTTATAAATAACTGTCATTGTAACAATGTCACCGTTTGAAGATGTTGGTTTGGTCCTTTTTTATATAGTTTACATCAACGAAAATCATGATATAACACTAATATGTTTAAGTAAATTAAACACAAATACTAACCTTTACGTTTTCAAAAAACATATTTTATGTTCTCAGTTTTTTAACATTTTTATTGAAAAAAATACACTAGCAGGTTTTACTAGTTGTATGATTCAAAATATTGAAATATAAGGTAGTTTTTAATATTGACATGATCAATCGCCTAAGTGTAAATGCCTTATCTTTTATCCGACTATCTTAATAAGTTGTGGTTATGAAGTCCAAAGTTATAAGATAACGATATGTACGAGTACCATTGTGTAAATAAAAAATATATTAAAAATATATCAGTTAGAAATATAACATTTTGTTTTACATTAAACGAATAATTGTATATACTGTTTGGAAGCACTTCATAATATCACAACCATAAAATCAATAACATGAACTTTAATGATAATGAATGATATCCATGGACAACAATAAGATTATCAATTAAGTAATAACTACGAAACAAATATGAAATATGACAACCTAATGATTTTTTTTAGTTAACATGCATTTTACGGAAAAGAGGTATTATGCTTAAGCCTATTTGATAGGGCAGTTTGACCCTGTGTTTTTACATTTTACTTCAGTTTAGTAACAACGAAAACTTTTAGATATCAAAAGAGATTTTTTGTAGACCCCTCATTTGTTTTGACATATTAACAGTACAAAAACAACAGAAAGTAAATCTGCCTGCAACCTAAATGTTCCAACTGCTATGACATTCCTTACTTTTCTAGTTATTTATTTAATACTGACCAGAAATAAATGTTCCAACTGCTATGACATTCCTTACTTATCTAGTTATTCATTTAATACTGACCAGAAATAAATGTTCTCATAATGTGCATATACTGCATATAAATAAGCTATGGTGTCATACATTGTAAGCATTCAAAAAGATTTCATTAAATGTGTTTCCTAATTTTACAAAGATTTGAAGTTAAACGAAATTGACTTTTGTTTTCGTTATCAAGACACTTGCGAAAAGTACCTAAATATTCACTTTGTCATAAGTAAGACTTCATGTTTATGTATATTTTGATCTAAAACAAGAGTCGAAACATAACAATCGTACAAAACTACATTGAAAATTGGAAAAAAATGAAAAATCTATATTCTAAAAGCATGGACAAAACATGAAAAATACTTTACATAACATTAAATAGACTAAATGCAAAAGACTGCCATAATAGGGTCATACAAATAAAAGATTGTTGCATACAATTTAAGTGGCGCACTTTATATCTAACTATAACAATTAATCTAAATTTTGTAAAACAATACTAATTAAAATTTAAAGAACGCAAAATATTATAAAAATATTTAACATTATACGTAACAAACCACAGTGCTACTGAAACAACAAAAGGTCACTATCAAAATACATGTACAGCTACATAACAAACATGTTCACGTCAACCACGAAAAAAAAACTAGACAAACCATGGAAATTAATTGAGTTTATGACACAATGGAAGACGTAAATAGAGACATTACATAAAGTAAACAAACTAAACATAATCTTTACATATCTGCACCAGCTTTCACTCTCACATTTAGCACGAATGTCCTCACAAGGGTTATCGAACTTTGATTGTTTTCGAGCAGACGTCACTTTGATGTACTGACTATCATTCCCTGTCGTCAGGAAAACGACCATTCTTCTCTACATAGACCATCTTTGCAGGCTTGACATAGTTCTGCGTTGTGCTGGTTGCGTGGTTTTCCTGCGCGTCTGTCAATCCGTAATGGAGGACGAACAAATCCGTAGTATATTTGGCCTACCCTGTTGTATACGTTACCTAGTACCTGTGTAGAGTAGAAATAAATCAATGTTATGATGGACTATAAAGTAAATGTTTACAGGACTCTTGAAACTAGAAATGGATTACGTTTGTCAAACTACATATATACAGGAAGAGATAAAAAGTGTTTTATTTTCATCTATAGATTACCAGATATACTTTTTCACATTTATATTATAAGTAGTCGAATGTACTCATTGGCACATGTAGAGATTGATGGTATGCAATGTATCACATAAATCTGGATATAAAGTATTGTAAGCACCTTTCATTTCACATTAGATCTTCTTAAACAACAAGTACAAAGAGACCATGTTTCATATCAGTTAACATTTCTAGTTATGAGGGAGATTGCAAAGTAGGCTCGTGAACAATGAGATTGTTTTTAAACAAATAAACACACGTCTGAGAATAGCAGTCTCAGCATAAGTAAAGGTTTATTTTACTAAAAAACACTAAGTTTTATTTAAACTGATTTACAATATATTTCAGAGAGTTGACCTTTCACATACTTTTTCATTAGGTGCATGCAATAAAAGTAATACACTTTTATTGCTATATATATAGTTTATCTTTGCAATTGTAGACCAAATTATTAAATCGCTAATAAATTCGTACCTTCACCACTTCTTCTGGGTACCACATGGCATGTTCATATTTTCCATTTTTACATCTTTGGCATTGCTGTCCGTAGAGTTTAAACATAACAAGTCCGGAGTTTGCTCCGTAATTTAGATTAAACCAAAATATTACTCGTCCTTTCATTGATGTCCATCCATGTCCGCAGTCCTGCAAAAATAAAAGTCAGGGTCAAACATTTGAAATTATAAAATCAGTTATAATTCATAGCATGATACTACCCAATAATTTTACACATATCCATAGTAACATAAGCGTTTGCAAACTTTTGGGTCTTGTTGTACCTGGAATAGGTTAATTTAGAGAGACGGGTCTTTTATTTGAAGCATGAGAGTAGACAGCAGCTGTAAACAATCTGGATTCTTATTGAAATAATCACAAAATCTGCAGAGTATCTCTGTAAGCATAGTAAGGTTTATATAATGTCCTAATTCAAAGCATAGAGGCTTCGTTATGTTTATTTATACCCGGTGCATTTTATTGTTACCAGACACTGTGGCCTAGCTGTTCTCATTTTGTTTTCAAATTTAACCTATATGCATTTACATGTCAGTAACACCTTCTATATGTACTACGTTTCTAGACATACATACCTCTGTATAGGTGATTTAACATGAGCATAACTAATCACAGATTTAGTCAAATTGTTTAAAACATATTTAGATTTTTTAGAGAGGATAGGGAAAATTCATTAAAGCAATTCATGTGTCTTAACTGTAGTCGTGTTTATACATGTTCATTTACACGTGTGGTAAATACTACTTTACGTCAACTTTTGAAAAGGTATTAATCTTAAGTTATTTCTGAAAATTAAAGTTTTTTTTTAAAAGTTAATTCATTATATATGTAAAAGAGAGGCGGAAGATACCAAAGGACATTCAAATTCATAAGTCTATGACAAACTGACAACGCAATAGCAAAAAAGGATTAACGATCAAAACACAACATAAAAAGCTTACTTCACCTTGAAAGTCAATAAATTAATACAAATTCAAACAAAATAACCTACTGTAGAAAGTAAAAAGGGACATTTTCATTTTAAAGGTCTTAAAATATGTGAAATGCTGTTTCTTTTTACTTATTCAGCTATCTATTTGCAAATTTTCGGATAAAAACATAAGCTCTATTAAGTTCATATGGGTTTCGACAACATTTAAGAGATGATATAAAATAAGCAAACAAATAATCGAAAGCTATTATATGTAATTTTTCGAATATCTTTATGTCCTGGAAATGTTTTGAAATGACATACTGACACTACATTTAGTTATACTAGTTTAGATTTTATAACAGTAAGCACAGAATGTGAAAACAAGTTTTTCATCAAATCTTCCATGATTTACGATCGATATCTGATCTAATATTGATTGTAATTTATTCAATGTTCATCTTAATGCCTGTTTTGGCAGGACTTATTGCTAAATTTTCCTTTCAAATGTGCAAATATTGACTATTCTTGATAAAGAGCAAACATTTGGACAGATTCTCCCCTCCACTGACAGTATTAACGGACTAATATATACATTGATTGTTTGCTTATTAAGACTATATTAAAAAGAAAATATAAATCCATGAAGATTAAGGTGATACACATACAGCTCATAAAGGATAGATTGTTTAATAGTTTACCAATTAATCAGCCACGTTCTGGTACCTATAGTATATAATATGTTATAGGGGGCACCTGCGATGACAGTAAGAACAAAGGGACTATATGGTGGTATTTGAATTACTTGAGGAATTACACATGTAGGTATTATCAAATTTTAAATCTTCTTAACAGTAAACATTGTTGACCGACGTACGATGTCCTATTTCTTTTCTTGTTGTTTTTGGAAGATTACTGTCTCCTGGACAACTATACAATTTCTATTTACAGATTGGAACCTAAGGAACGAAAACACATACAAATATTTACACAAGAATCGTTCCCTTGATTCGGAACATAATGAACTTTTGTGGAGAGTTGTCTCATTAGCAATCATACCACATCTTCTTTTTTTATATTTTATAACAGATACGTAAAACAGAATTAAGAAATGTAAAGTTTTATTCCATGGAAAATGAATTTTGACCAATTAAGAACTGAGATAAAACGAATCACAAGTTGATCAAAAAATAATAATCAATCGATCGGACAAAGTATATATCGGGTAAGAATTAGAGAAAATGTTTTATACCATGGAAAGTGATAGATTTAACTCAATCTTCAGTGTAAATGGTACAGAGATAATAGTAGCCCCTTGAAACACAGTAGCAAAGTTAAGGATGATGAAAACGTAAAAAATACACCTATTTACATGTATGCATGGGTTGGACGGTAATACGTATAGTACGTGGTTTTGAAAACTAAACTTTATTCTACCCAAAACTGAGTCAAAATTTAACAAAAAATAAACAAATAAATTGTATAAATATCTTTTTTTCAGTATAGTCATAGACTATGTGAAATTGTCAATGACCAACATAATCGAATACAATACTACAATCATTAGACATATCAGTTAAATACAAAAAAACAAAAACAAAAAAATTTAATTGCAAAATTGAATTACATTTTTATAATTTTATTAAGTATTTAATCACCTAGAAGATTATTATTTCATAATTATAAAAGTTTCAAAACAATGTGCATGCCTCATCACGGTGATACATATTAAATTTTCAGAGAAACTAAGGAATTTATTTAGTCGCTTCCTATATAAACTTCTAGTATAATGAAAGGAGATCCTCTTGTTTTGATAATTTAAGTAAACAAGATTTACCTATAGAAATTTGTTTAATGTAATATATCTCTTTAGCAAGTTCAAAAGAGCTTATTTCTTGAAGTGATGGATGAAAATTGACAGGTCTATGCGACAAAATGTGATCATCATTGTTTTCTAAATTTTCTTTGGTATGACAGGGTTATCTCCTGATCAAACTTGTATTTCGAGTGACAAATTTTAAATTCATATTTGTATTGTTTATCAAATATAGCACTTTCCGATGATTCGAATACGTCTTTTTCCCAAATGCAGTTCACAAATAAGAACGTTTAACGTAAGAATGGATATAAGAAAACAACTGTTACATGATGAAATAGAAAAGGAGGAATGTTTTTGACACACAACCATTACAAACATTTAACAAAACCAAAAGCAAAGAAAAACTCTATGTACTGCTGTTCTTCGTCTCAACTCCAAAAGAGGCCCTCAAAACTGAGCGAAAGCTAACATCTAACTTTAAGTTCCAAATTGTCATCAGTACTAATTTGAGCAGAATACTGTGCTTTGAAGAACGCATTGCAGAGTAGTATCAAATAATATTATACTGGAGTAAAATGTCCCAGATTATCCTGTACTTGTAATGGCTACATTAAACGGGGATATGCGCCCATATACCATATGATCAAAAACGAAGATCGTGGCATAATTAATATTGAAGTCAGAACACTCCAGTATAATATGATTGTTTATCGGGCTTCACAGGAGATTTTGTCTCATATTCCCTTTGACAATCTCGAAAAACATAAAATAATGGCTTTCATTTTATTTTTTAGATACGATACTAGTTTATATTTTATCTGTTGGTGGACTAAAAGTAGACATTTTTCTTCTATTAAACTTTGAAATTTAACTGCAGCTTGAATCCCTGGACGTTAGACCATACACAATCACACAACCAATTAAATGAGCAAGTTTAGACTTAATAGTACATCTTTATATGCTGTTGCTTAGATATTTTGTAATTTGTACGAAAGATTTCATCGCCTAACAACACTTTCCATCAACAATCGAATCTTACCTAAGGTGGCTTTAATACAGAAAAGATTAATTTCTTAATGATACAGAACTGCATCGATGTTTGTTCTTTTGTTTTAAAACTTTTTTGTTCTAATGGTACATGTACCATCGAATGGTAAAAGTTGACGGTTAAGGCAATTGGACTGCAAATACTATACTATAGACCTTCCGGTAGAGAGTATACTATAGACCTTCCGGTAGAGAGTATACTATATACCTTCCGGTAGAGAGTATACTATAGACCTTCCGGTAGTGAGTATCATTCCAGTTGATATAAGCAAATTAATTTCATAATTGGTCTTCAAATATTTCAGTAAATTCAAGTCATTTTAAAAATAATCACTATCAATTCATAGTCGGACTATGAAGTGATTTAGATAGAGATCTAGCTTGCAAATGGTCTCCAGAACAATCTAACGATAAGTATAAGAATAAATTACAAAACTAAACATTGGAACGCTCAAAACAAATTATTTTGAAAGCCAAGGATCAAACTTTAGTCTTTTGCAAAAGGAAATCTACTACATCTTTAAAAGTTTGAAATTTAACTTGTTTGTTATTCCTAATGACATGCACTGTACATAATAAAATTAATTTAATTTCAGGATAAACTAAAAACATTTACTCTTATTACTTTATTCGAAACACAAATCGTGATAATGTCTCTTTACAAATATCATATGGGTTCTGTTCATACACAATGAGCCAAGATTTCGTTACAGAAGCGATATTTTACTGAAAACTTCTAATGAAGATATCAAGTACCTATCACCTTTTTGTGTTATTTTATATGTTCTAAATTATATCAACGAAAACGTTTCACTAAAATTCCTGGGGATAGTCAAAAGATACATACAATCTTCCTTATCATGTTAATATTTCAGTAATTATCAAATAATTTAGTCATGTGATTAACAATTTTTCAACCAAACTTGAGTGAAATAAATATAGGACCATCATACCAACTCTCGGGTTGGTGAATATTTTCCACAATTGACATTTGGATTAGTCTATACGCACTTACTAAGGCTTCAATACATTTTGAAGTCACACGGTTCCCAAGACATTGTCCTACCTAGAAGACACATAAGTCATCTACCCGTCCTATTAGCGATCGTAGTAGGCTAGCTATTGATTGGTTGTGGGAACAGTATTTTACTTTTTCTATAATTTTACAGTAAATAATGTGGCTGCTTAGTTTTAATGTACTACGTTTATTCATCTATGTAAAATGATATCTCGATTATTTTATTGCAAACTTCTCTACAGGGTGTAAACATTTTTAAAACAGACCTGCTTGAAATTGCATTGGTGTTTTTGTTTAATAAACAATAAAATGGTAACTAGATCGCGAAATTCAGTATAATGATTAAATGAAATGAACGAAACCGTTAGCCATCCCCACGACCCCTGTAATACGGAAATGACCTTCAGAAGATACGTTCACCTTCACCATCATTTAGAAGGCAAACCATATAAAAATAATACACGTGCAAGAAATTTGAAATATATTATGACCTAAGTAGTGTAAAAAAATCAAGTTCCAAAAGGTCCGCTTATATGGATTTGGAAAGGAAAATTTGCACAATGTAGTTATATAGAATAATTTTAACATTTGAGTCTTTGCAAAAGTTCATGATCTGCAGAGATTAAAAACAAAGTGCTTTACTAACGGAAACCAACCACCCTTTTCCCTTTGAAAAAATAATCAAGAGACAATACAAGACCATGCCAACTCATTACAGAACAAAAAATAGATCACTGTAACTATTTACCTGACACGAGAATCTAACTTTGGCACTGTCTTTAAAAATTCTCCAGCCATCTGTTGGCGGGTTAAATGTTGGTATCAACTGCCAACCATGGGGGAAGTACTGTGCAAATAATCTCTCAAATTCACCGTGCCATACCAATTCCATACTGAAAAAAGAAAAAACAGTACATACTGTAAGCATTTTTTTGGGAGAGGGGTTTACATATATGATAACAGATTTATATTTAAGGTGTTGTATATAATTTTGTTGTTCAATTGTTAATCTGAAACGAAACATAAAATTGCCGCTGATCACTTGACAATTTTTTGGAAAGCAGAATTCATGTAAAACACCTATACGCATATAAATGGGTAATATGTAGTGAAGATGTCGCAATATTGAGGTGGGCTATGATCAATTTTTTAGAAAACGAAATGCGGGTCTTCTAAACAGACACATGAAGCCATATGCTGTGAATATGCCAGATTTGCAACCCCCTTGATCAGGTAGTTCACTTAAAATACAAAATATGCATATCGTTTGCAGTGAATATTGCAAAATTGCCAGTGACAGATATCTGTGGGGTATGTCACATCTATGAGCATCTGAGATCACCCCCAGTTTTTGGTGGGGTTCGTGTTGCTCAGTGTTGCGTTTTGTGTACTATTGTTTGTCTGTTTGTCTTTTTTTCTTTTTTAGCCTTGGCGTTGTCAGTTTATTTTCGACTTGTGAGTTTGAATGTCCTTTTGGTATCTTTCGCCTCTCTTTTTAGGGTATACCATCGCACTTCAGAGCTCAGCGGTGCATTTTGGTTATCAGATCATGCCATACTTTAAATCTGGTTCTAGTATCTTACTCACGTCCTGACTTTTGAACCAGTGTTATCTTTTACCGTTCAATATGAATGAACAAGTTATAACATTATTGATTACATCCCATAATAATCATTTATGTTTGTATAAAGTACAAATTCATTCATGAAAAATTGTTGGTAGTACTTAATTTAAAAGTAATGTGATTCATAAACCTTAAATGAGTATGAAGGGGATTTAAACAACATAATTAGAGGTTATTTCATATCAATGATCAAACTATTTTCGACTTCCTATATCTATCACGTTCAAGTGTAAGCGGTCTACTTCCTATAAGAATAAGTGTGTTATGAAAGTTTATGGGATCCGAACTCACAACCTCTTGTTTGACAGGCTAGTGATTGCTGTAGATATTTTTGTTTCTTTTTACCACCCAGTTCCCTATCAATTCAGTATATCTAATAGTCATAAAATACACAAATATAACCTTGATATATATATCACTATAAAATGCATTCAAGGACAAGATGATAATATGGACTGGTTAAAATGCACATCATCCGACTTTAACACTACATTTAAAAAGATAACCAATGGATTAAAGGATTTTTTAATAATTTCGCACCAGCAGCACACAAATCTATAGTGAGACGGCGAACAAACTGTATAATTTACGATAAACACGAAATGAACATGGCTCTAAAAATTACGAGATTTTAGACAAATGGAAGGGAAAATACACCAGCTTGTGATATTAGATCTTATACCACATCCCTAAATGACCAAACGAAAAGCCAAACAATGACACGGAGTTAGAGCTTTGCATGAGGGATGTATATTCGTTAATTTAAAATGATTTCCCAAATTTAACAACAGCAAATTTCAACAAAACAATATCCGTAGTTTCATGCCAGTACCGAAGTAAATTAAAATTAAGGTCTTTCGTCTTTCGGAATGCGAATGTAAATTAGACAATGCAACGACCTCAGTCTTCGCGATTAATGACATGAACGTACAAGGTAGACAAAAAGACAAAATAAATAAAAACTAAAATTGTATACTCGATGATATATGACTACAGTATACGCTTGGTATGAATTTTAATTTCTATGTTTGTCTAGTGTAAATTATGTTTTTGAAGTGTATACATAGTTTCTGAAGTGTAATAATAATTTGAAAGTTTAACTGTTACGTTTTACAGAATGAATATTCACATGTCAGACAGATAACTCTATTTATAACAACATGCATGTCACAAATGGTTTGTTTTCTACTTCATGTTCATAGTACGGAACAAGTAAAGTTTTCATTTCGGTGTTCCATAAACTCCAAAGCCTCATATGGAAATTATAGTTTTGAATTCACATTTGCAGCAATGTTAACAATTCTGTTATATTTCCATTTTGTAAATTTAAAAAAAAATACACTTGTCAAGTCTATTTCCAAAAATCCTTATGCAATAAGATTTTCTTTTTAAAATTTAAGCGGAGGCGGGACGGAAAACCTAAAAAGAAACAGACTGAGTGGTACCTTCTGCAATACAATTTTCTTTTTAAAATTTAAGCGGAGGCGGGATGGAAAACCTAAAATGAAACAGTGGTACTTAAAGCTTTTTGGTCTATTTTACTTGAGGTTAAAGAATTTTTCGAAAAAGAGGAGATCCCGAATACCAAGATTCTCTGTAATTGGCAATTCTAGATGTTAGATTCAAAAGTTTATGTTAAAAGATTTGAAAATTCGTATGTATCTTTCAGTTTATGAACATTAACATTCATCTTCTTATTTTTATGTGTATCACTCTTCTGTATTCGTTATTAATATAAAAATAAAGATATGTTGTATAATACTATCCATCAGAAACCAAATGACGTGGAGTTACGCAACTACAGGTCACCGTACGGCCTTCAACATTGAGCAAAACTCAAATGTATAGTAAGCTATAAAAGGTCCCGACATTAAGGATCGATTTGCTATACGCAGAATATTGCTTGTATGTCAGGGTTTTTTTTTTTCTTCAATCGAAATGATCTGATAATTTAAAAAAAAAAAGCCTGGATGTTGCATTTCAAGACACGATATTAGAAAGGTCATAATATGAATTTCTTTTTCCTTTGGCCTTCAGTGGGTATTCTATTCTTTGGCAACCATTTATTTCTATTTTGAAATACTATTTATACATATTTGCTATGCTTTCCATATTCTGCGGTAAAAAGATAAATCCTCATTTTTTTTAATTTATAAATTGTTACTGAGTTATGTATATTGTGAATCAAGTGATGTAAATGTTAAAATGTTTTCTATTATTATTCTATTAAATAATCGTTCATATTTTAGATAATTAATTGCAATCAAAATTTCAGATGCCAGTTTTCTTGTCTTTTTAATAATTCACATCTGATTTTCCCGTAGCCTCAAATGATTTACTTGCGTTATTTGTTTTACTAAGCCCATTATTCATATGTCGTACGTTGACCTACAAATGTGTAAATGGTCATGCACCTTTTGTCCTGTTGGGCATTAGTGCATAGTTGTGCTCTTGAAGAATCACACCAGGATTTCGCATTTTCATAACAACAAACTTAGCACATTTTACGTACCAACGTAGCGTCTCTTACATTACTGTATTAAAATAAATTTAAACGTTCCTGGTTAGAGTAAATCCACAAAAGTGCTGTTTTCATTTTTCTTGTTATCAAGGAGAAGTCATAGTCTCAAATGGGAGTTCTTCGGCAATGTTAGGGTCACCACCCAATTACATCTTGAAAATAGTTGACTATCTTGAATGTTCATATAAAAAAATAAACTTCTTATTGATGAAGTCATCATTAGTTTGACCTTCCATCTGTTGTGTCCACTATCAACAATGAACCGTTTAAACTTGACCCCGTCAATTTCAAACAATGTTGATATGGTGTTAGGATTTCAATAAAACTATGTTTGTTTATTATCAACTTAAAACGCCATTAATCTAAACCTTCAGGCATTCTGATGACACTTTTTATTTCACAGGATGATATTGACTGAATGTCACGCTGAAGGTCAACCATGACGTATCACTGACTTTATATCTAGCATGTCGTTAGAGACTAGAGAGTGGAACTGGGATGTAGATGAGAAGGCATCGAACATTTTTTTTTTTGTCAAGGGGTGGGGAGCTCGTATATTTTGGCGAAAGAGAACTTTTTATCAAACGCTTGAAAGTACTTACTTAGGGAGCTACCATTTGATTTTTATGGGGGGGGGGGGGGGGGGGGGGGCTAGGATGAAATTTGAAAAAAAATAGGCAGGACAGGAGTTTTGAGTAAAAAAAAGGCAGGATGAGCAACTTGGTAAAAAAAAAAAGGCAGGATGACAATTTGTGTAAAAAAATTCAGGATAAACTAGTAAAAAATTACAGAAGTAATGGGAAAATGAGAAAATAAGTAAGGACAGAACAAAAAATACTTCAACAAAATTATGGATTGGATTTTCCCAAAAGTATCCCATATCACCTCTGCTCATATATGCAAAGTTCTTGTACCAATTCAGGAATATGATGGTAAATGTGAACATTGTCAAGCGATAACCAATTGTATAGATTAGATTTGTCTGAAATCAGTCAGTGTAAATAAACACACTGAGCATTAATATGTATTAAATTATCTTTTATATCTTTGTAAAATGGTTGGTGCTCCAGATCTTTGGCTAATAGTTTGCCTACGTGATAATTGTAAGCCTTCTTGATTGAGTCCAAGTAAAATAGCTTTTTCGTACATTTCTTTTTAGAATTAGACATACATGCAGTATGAATCAATTATAACCTGCATATACATATGTTAGAAAAATACACGTATTTATTAAACTGACATATGTGTAATTCATCTGTCTGAAATGTCCTATTTTGGGAATAAAAGTGTCATACTGACTATTTTAAGAAAATGTGGTCACACGGATTACGACTTTTGATATTTGTATTAATCATTGAATAATTATTGCTTTGCAAGCATATAAATAACGACGAGACTGTAAAATGAATATATGCAACCATATATGTGCGTAGGAGTAGACTGAAAAGGGGGGTGATTTCTAACAGTGAGAAGGAACAAATCCTCCAATCACTCCCCCCCCCCCCCCTCGGTTCCTACCCCAGAGCATATACATGTACCAGATAGGCTTAGGCTTTAAAGATTTCATCTCATAGTACAGTGGCAGGTATATAAGCTTTAACAAGAGAGATGACAGGATTCGAAACCTTAATAACAGAAAATAAATATATTCAGACCGTCTAAAGCTTTTTGCGATCATCTTTTTTCGATAAGAAGGAATAGCAATTGAACCGAACTCCAAATTGACAGATAAAAAAATATGATCCTTT